CGGTCGGGATGCATTTTTGTAACAAAAGGAAATTGCATCTTGATCCAGAACTCACTTTATATGGAAACCCAATTAAAATGGTTGATGAAAATAAATTTCTAGGGTTAGTTTTTGATAAAAAAAAATTAACCTTTCTCCCCCATATCAAAATGTTAAAATCAAGATGTTTAAAAGCATTAGATATTTTAAAAGTTGTCGGCAGCACCGACTGGGGTGCTGATCGCAACATTTAACTTAATTTATATAGATCTCTAGTTAGATCCAAACTAGATTATGGCTCTATAGTGTATGGCTCTGCACGGAAATCCTACATACAATTTCTCGATGCTGTGCATCACCAGGGTTTGCGTCTCTGTCTTGGCGCCTTTAAAACCTCACCAGTTGAGAGTCTGTATGTAGAGGCTGATGAGCATTCACTTTTTGACAGACGTTTGAAGCTTGGACTTCAATATGCTGTCAGACTAAAAGCCTATTCAGATAATCCTGCCTACAGCTGTGTTTTTTATCCAATTTATGAAGATATTTTTGCAAAACATGAAAACGAAATTCCTCCGTTAGGTAACGGTTTAAAACCACATTTAGCTACTTTTGATTTAAAATCTGTTGCTCGAGTTGAAACTTGCAAATGTCCTCCATGGGAACTTTCCAAACCAAAAATGATATTTGATCTACGTAAACACAATAAAAATGAAACAGATCCTCTTTTAATTCAGCAACACTATGCTGAAATTTAAGCCAGTTATTTAGATTTTTCAACTGTCTATACTGATGGATCAAAAGATGGTGACAGAGTTGCATCTGCTGCTGTCTTCAGGGACAGAGCTGCAACTCTCCGTTTGTCATCTGCTGCATCCATCTTTACTGCTGAAGCAGAAGCAATAATTTTGGCTTTGAAATTTATTGCTTCTTCAGATAAATCCAAATTTATTATATGTTCTGATTCACTTTCATGCTTACAAGCTATACAAAATACTAAAATTAAAAACCCAACAATTCTCAAAATTTTATATGTAATGAGGAATTTAAAAATTCTTCTTAAAGAAATAATATTTATATGGGTGCCGAGTCATGTTGGAATCCATGGAAAAACAGCTGTAGACCTTGAGGCAAAGAATGCCCTGGGTGACACTTTATCTAACTGTGATATAACCTATACCGATTTTAAATCTAATATTAGAGAATATGTTTTTAATATTTTGAAAAATGAATGGAGTAAGAGAGATGGTAACAAAGTATATGAAATTAAACCTAATTTAGGTAAACCTTTTAATAATTTAATGTGCAGAAAAGATCAGTGTGTAATTTCTAGAAGCCGAATTGGTCATACTAGAGTGACACACGAGTATCTTTTAAAAAATGAAGATGAACCACAATGTGTACCTTGCAACTGCAAGTATACTATTAAACATGTTTTAATTCATTGTATTGACTTTGCTGATATTCGGAAGAAGCATTTCAATGTCAATAATATGTATGATTTATTTAATAATGTTTCATTTACAAATATTGTTTCATTCTTAAAAGAAATTGGAATATATTATAAAATATAAAAAATGTTGTTATATTTAAAACGATTTTAATTTTTATCACGTTATCTTAGTATTGATTTTTATTTGTAAATAATCAATTTGCTTATGTCTGGAATTTTAGTTTATTGAAAGACCTTTTGTCTGATTTTAAAAATATACCTTAAATTGTTATAATATTCGAATTAGCTCTCGCCACGATATAGCCTTTCTGTGCTAATGCGGCGTAAAGCAAACAACAATCAATCAATCTCTGAGTTCTGAGTGAGTTCCAGTTATTGTTGTAGAAACAGCCTTCCTTAGTTTTGTTGTAGTCAGTTTTTTTCGGCACCTTCTTCTGCTAGAGATTTTGCATTCCTACTAACTTGACGAGTGTTCCAGGCACCTCTTTACTTTTTGGCCAGGTAATGAAAATACTGTCATCTTCTTTTGGGGTTGTGTACTTCTGTACAAATTTGCAGAGTTGTATGTATCTCATGATAAAACTGTGAAGCTCATTATCTATACCAATATTTGCTGGTGCTATATCTCCTGTTTTGTGTTCTTTCACCTTAAAGTGGAGAAAAAGGACCAATACTGGGCATGTCAATCAATAAAGTTTACAGCAGCATTTTATTTGTTTTTTTTTTGTGTGGCAAACTATAATTTTGAATCAACTGTTTCAAATTAAGACTTTAAGACGCTAATAGGCTTGTTCTATGTGCCTGTCCCAAATCTGTATTTAGGAAGTTGTCGTGTGTAAATCTGTAATAAATGATCCTCATTCATTGTTCTAAAAACAGACCGTTCGATTTAATTTTTGAACTGTTTCACATAAATTGTGTAAAACCTCTTAACAGTTGTCACATGGAATGGATTTTCCAATTGTTGAAGACCGAACGGCGATATGAAGTTGTTCAATTCCTTGTACATTGACGGGTAGTTGTCTCCTCGGCAGCTTTATGGCAATACCAAACTAGAATTAAATATCATCCTCAAAAAAATTGGTTGGAGAAGCGATAGAGACAGGAGGAAGGACGGACAAACAGATAGGCGGATGGAACTCGATGAATATCGCCTAATTTTGTAAAAGAAAGTCCGAGATGAAAAATACAGTGTTTACATTTCACATTGACGGTCTTACTGACAGAACGGACGGACGTTTTGACGAACCGATTTAAAATATCACATAACTTCATTTGAAGTGCAAGAATGAAAAGCATTGTTGAAAGTATACGTTTGTATCAGTCACATGGTTCAATTCATTACTAGGACCAATTTAAATTTCTGCCTTTTGTTAAGTTAAATGTCAATGAGCTTGTCCTTTTTGGCAAATATTTCATGCATATTCAGGACGATCTGGGGTCCTGAGAGCAGTTCCTAATGCACTGTGGGTTATGCCAAGAATGACTCGAGGTATTTGTCCGTACTTAAAAGTATTTTAAGTATCACAAAATCTCTGGCATTAGCAAAGTGTGTGGACGTTAAACCACCCTCTTCCTAATTGTCTTTCACTTACGTTCGTACTGTCTCTATAGCAGTTTCAGAGTTAAAAAACTTCACTATGTCATCTTTATATACCATTGTTTCTGCAAGCAGAATGTAAAATGAAATAAGTTGCTCTGTAATTGAATGGAATAATACTTCAACCGCATTTCATTTTTACACTTAAGAGTTAAAAACTTTTTACCGCAGTTTTCTGCCTAACAGCGGTAAAAGTTTTCTTTTACCACAAAACGGAAATTCATTACCACAGTTAGGTAGAAATCCGCGGTAAAAATTTTCAGTGCTAACTGGTTACATGTTTTTATTTAATGCAACACTAGAAAATACCCGCGAAATATACTTTGATTCATAATTTGAAGATATATAGTTTTGGTGTAAGGCGATATTAAGATCTTAAATCTTTTTGAAGCGTGTCACAGACGAAATACCACCACTCAATATGACACCCATAAGAATAGTCTTCCCGACAGAAACTATTGGCGTTTGTGATCTAATCATAGGATATGTCATTGTTATACCCTGAATGCATTGCACTGATCAAAATAATATGTGTTTATAAATACTCTTAATTGGTGACATATGCCACTTCTTTATCCATTTTTACCGAAAACCGAAGTAATCCCCCCACCCTTTAGGGTATACCTTTTGCTGAACAGACCATAATACTTGCAGACAAAGTGGAAATGATGACGGCACGTAATTTTTTGCAAATTTACCCAAAAATATTTCGCAACCTTACATTAAGTTTTGGATCTGCATCTGATTTCTGGTGTTTCCGTGCTCAGAACCACCCCCATATATGAGCGGGTTGAATATTTATATATGAATGGGTGTGAGTCACATTCCAGCCGCAATTCGGTACCCATTTTTAACCGAAAACTGAAATAATCTCCCACCCTTTTCATGTTGAATTGATGCGGTTCCCTGGAAGGAAAAGCTCTTGGCGTGTAAAACTCTGTTGTTACATTGCTGAGAGCGTCAAGGGAATGTGTATCACAAAGTGTTTCAGTGTAAGGTCAATATTTAACGTATCTGGCTGCCGTTTCATAAAACAATCGCTAATAACGATTACCGTGAATTTTAGCGTGTAACTAACGACTACACAACGATGACGTCTACGTGCGTTTTCATAAAGCATATACGCAGAAGAATCGTTAGAATTTGTGATCGCTAGACAATCGCTATTTATTTATAGCACGGGAATCCCCGAAAACAGCACTCTTTTTCATTGGAGGTATGTAACATAGAATTTAGCAGACGAAAATACGTACAACACTATCTGACTATGGAAATACAAAAAATTAAAAGTCCGAGAAAACCTCACTTTTCGAGTGAGGAGGTGGATATCATTGTGAAGGGAGTGCAAGAAAACTATTCTCTTCTTTTTGGAGCACTCTCTCCTAATTTAGACCTTCATAAAAAGAAGGCAATCTGGTAAAGTATTGTTCAGAAGTATGTTAACACACCGATATTTTAAATAGACACAAATTGAATTAAAAACAAACAAATGAGTATAACAAAGATTGATCTTTTAATAATTTGTCAGATGAATGCAAACACTAAATTGGTAAAACAAAATCAGTCAAGTGCCTGTGCCCCAGATATATCTAAAGTCCTCTTAATAATATGTCAATGTTTTTTATTATCCTAAAATCTCGGAAACGGGAAGGACCGCTTTATATATATATTGCATTAATAAACATTTAATACAGGTTAATAGTTTTCAATAATTAGCTGATTAGGAGGGTGTGTTTCACGAATTTAACCATATATAACTAAAAGCATGATAAATGCAGGATATCCAATTTCATTTGACAACATCATGGTGTAAACCTATATGTTACTCTTAATCAAGAAATTCAATTAGTTCTGTTGTAAGAACTACGCCAGAGGTGAAACACAAATGGCAGGATTTGCAACTCAAATCAAAGAAAAAGGAGGTAGAAAGATTCAAGCTCCAGAATCTGACAGGTGGTGGATCAGCACCACCTGCTTTAACACCACTTGAGTCAAAGGTTAGTTGATTGAACTATTTTGTTGTTTTAATTATTGTTGTAGTTCAAACAATATTGTTATCAATAGAAAAGAATGGAACAGAATTTTATTAACATTGAAAATTTCAATAAGTAATAATCACAAATGGTAAATTCAATCCTTAGATATATCATGTACTAGTAAATCATTTCAATTTTGTGTGATTTTAGTGCTCATGAGAATAATATTGCGATGAATTCTAAGACTTTAGAATTATATATAACATAAAATTGAGAATGGAAATGGGGAATGTGTCATAGAGACAACAACCTGACCATAGAGCAGACAACAGCCGAAGGCCACCAATGGGTCTTCAATGCAGCGAGAAACTCCCGCACCCGGAGCCGTCCTTCAGCTGGCCCCTAAACAAATATGTATACTAGTTCAGTGATAATGGACGTCATACTAAACTCCAAATTATACACAAGAAACTAAAATTAAAAATTATACAAGACTAACAAAGGCCAGAGGCTCCTGACTTGGTACAGGCGCAAAAATGCAGCGGGGTTAAACATGTTTTTTGAGATCTCAACCCTCCCCCTATACCTCTAGCCAATGTAGAAAAAACAAACGTACAACAGTACGCACAGTAAAACTCAGTTTAAGAGAAGTCCGAGTCCGATGTCAGTATAGGAAACAAAAGAAAATAAACAAAATGACAATAATACATAAATAACAACAGACTACTAGCAGTTACTGACATGCCAGCTCCAGACCTCAATTAAACATGTTGTACCAGCTATTTAAAAAGTGAAACTGATGAATTTACCATGTTTATAACATATATGATTTTACAGTATATATTAAAAAGAAGACACATTACAGTATAATATCTCTGGCTAACTTTCAAATCAATTTGAACAAGTTGCATCTCACATTGTTATGAATCATTTATTAAACATCATGAAATACAGATATAAAGTGTATACCAATTGAACTGAATATAGTAATAAAAGATTGACAATAGAAATTAGATAAATTAATATATATATATAGGATACTATGGAGAACATTATGAACAATTTTATATTGTAATAGACAAAATGTGAATATTCATATTGAATATAAATATTTGGTGCATTTTCAGCATTATTGTTTTTTCCTATTTTATGCACAGCGTGGACAAATTTTAAAAACTTTTCAATATATATATATACATTTATTTACAGGTTATTTCTATCATTCCCAGAGTTGCCTGCTATGGAATTACTGGTGGTATTGACACCGACAGTGGTAAATTAAACATGTTATATGAATCTATATTGAATTTACTTAGGCCAAATAAAATAATATGTGCCTTTCCTAATACATCTTTGAAAAAAGGGTAAGTAGGTAGGTACAGAATTTTTTTATTTTACAATTGTTTTTACATTGAGTTTTTGGAAGAGAAATTCTGACATTAACTGTGCTTATTGAAAAATGACCAAAACACCGTTAAGGTAGGCTTTTTCTAAGCTTAAAATATAGGGTAGGTAGGGAAAAAGGAAACACACATATTTTTTTTTATTTGGCCTTATCATTCCTGGGTTAATATTGTTTAGTGAGTTGTTAATAGCAATAGTGCTGTCTAAGTCAGGAAACATAATTAAGCTCTACATATTCATACACAAAGTTAGTAAAATACACAATGTTATGTTCAGCTTCAATAGCACTATTAATTCTTTATATAGCTTATATACATTGTATGTTGTGTAGTGAGAATATTGAAACAGGGTATTAATAAATGAGACAGAAACCCAACAATACAAGGTGTAAAATTTATATTGAAGGTATGAAAGATAACTTGAACAATTTAAATTTAATGACTTCTGATTTTTTGTAACACTCATAAAAAAAGGTATTTTTAAACTATTAATACAATGGCATTTTATTACAGTATGCATATATGTAACAAGTAATACGATTCGTTTAAATAACGAATACCTTCATGTACAATATATAGACCCAAGTTTATTTTCTTAATTCTGATAAGCATATCTTTTTGTTTTTCTTTGATAGCATTAGTGTCCTCTGTACAGATGTCAGATTAACCTGTTTCTGAGAGTAAATATGAACATAAACTTATACAATTGCACTGCTGAGTAGAAGATAACATATCTGACTTACATTTTATTTAGGGTTTATTAAGTCCTGTACAATTTAAAAGACCTGCTTTATCAGAAAACTTTTTTGTTGTTTAAAAAACATATAAAAACAGTGTTGATACAAAATAAAAACACTTTCGTATAAAACATAACTTACGCTATAGTCAAATCCTTACTAGAAAAAAAATGTCTATGTTAAAGTTAAAGAAGATTATTCATGAATTAGTGAGTAGTCACTGAAATGTTTACGTATTTAAAAAAAAAACATGAACGGAAACCAGCTAAAACAAACAATAAAACTTATTGTAGTAGTTTATCATGTATTTGATTATTTTAATAGATGAAAATACAGACACAACTGGAAGTGCAGATGACACCGTTGATATATTGATAGACATGTCAACAGGAAAGGAAATCATAAGTAATTCATACATATATACTTTCCTACTAAAAAAAAATTCCTAAATACTTCATTAAATTTAAAAGATCAAAATGTATCTGTGTCATAAAGGCTTTCTACATTTCTTTTATATATTTAAGAGTTGTTTTTCTTTTTGTTTTAATTTAGAAAAAAAATCCCAAAATTTTATTAGTTTGGGCTTGGACTATTGGTTTTATAGTTGCATGTTTGGGTGTACAATGTTTTGTTATTGTTGAGGATTAGATTAAAAAAATACATTTTTCAGTGTCCTTAGAGACAGGAAATATTCAATTAATACATAATTTTCATACTAGTCATTATGATATGTAACTTTATATCTGCACTTGTACATGTTTGCGATTAAGTAGCTTATGAATATATTATATAGTATGGAAGCTTTTGTTTTATTGGTTTTTTGTCTCGCCTTGACGGAGTCAAAAAGCGAGACATAGGTATGCTGTTTCCGGCGTCGGCGAGGGCGGCGTCAACAATGTATTAGTTTGTGATTAGGTCTAGTTCATGGTGAACCACTAGTGGTAGGTCAATGATATTTGGTATGCAGTTGTATTAGCATTGGCACATCTCATTACCATGGAGATTATTTGGCCCTGCCCCCTCAGTCAAGGTCTATTGACTTTGAAACCTTATATAGTTTACATGTATTAATTTGTGATTAGGTCAATTTATGGTGAACCACTAGTGGTAGGTCAATGATAGTTGGTATGCAGTTGTATACGCATTGGCATATCTCATTTCCATGGAGGTTATTTGGCTCCGCCCGCTTAGTCATGGTCTATTATCTATAGACTTTGAAAATTTTGCTAAGTTAACATGTATTAGTTTGTGATTAGGTCAGTTCAAGGGAAACCATTAGTGGTAGGCCAATGTTAATTGGTGTTCAGTTGTATAAGCATTAGCACATCTCATTTCCATGGAGAATATTTGGCCCCGCCCCCTCAGTCATGGTCTATTTACTTTGAAACTTTTGCTTAGTTTACATGTATTAGTTTGTGATTAGATCAGTTTAAGATGAACTGCTAATGTTAAGTCAATGATATTTGGTATGCAAATTTATTGGAATTTGCAAGTATCGTTTCCGTGGAGATTATATAGCCCCACACCTGATCATGGTTCATTGACTTTGAAACTTTTACATAGTTTACAAGTTAATGTTTGTGTTTAGGTTTGTTTAAAGGGAACGACTTATAATAAGTCAATGGTATTTGGTATGCAGTTGAATTAGCATTGGCACATCTCATTCCATGGAGATTTTTTAACCATGTATCTTCAGTCATGGTTCATCGACTTTGAATATTTGCATAACTTACATGTTAAAGTATTGCTATTTTAATTTCAACATTTGCATTATCAAAATTACAAAAAGGCGAGACATATCTCTGTGATAACAGTTTATACTTTTAATTCTCAGTTAATGAAAATGAAGTGACTCTTTGTGGAAATGACAGCAGACCCAAAGAACGAACATCACCACCATCAAAGAATATGACTGGTATGTCTAGTATATAGTCAGCAGTATATGAGCTTTATTCAAAATTCAGAATGTTAATGGTATCTTTTTCAGTGAAATTTTTATATCATTTTTTTTAAATATGTTTTAGGAAATATTGAATTAATAGTATAATTTTTAAGGCAATGCAGAAACAGGAATTATATTTACATACTGACAAGTATAAAAATAAGGAGATTGGGAATGACACAACTATCCACCACAGTTTAGATAAAGGGGATGTAAGCAATAATAGGCAAACTTACAGCCTTCAACAATGAAATAAAAACCCATATTGTATAGTCGTCTATTTAAGGATTATTGTATGCAATATATTAAAAATTAAACCATAAAACTTGAAAGCCAGAATAACAACTGATATGGACAGAATTATAATTTTACTATAGTGTAAAATGCTTAGAACTGTCTCGTAATTTTACTCCTTTTTAAAAGTTCAAAGTAACAGAACTGTGTTTTAATGAAGTTTTAACATAACTCGTATGGTTTTATGCTGACTGATTTCTGAGGAATATGTTTTATTATGCAAACACAAATTTTCTTTAACATTAAAAGTCTTTTTTGAAATAAAATCAATTTTTTATACTATTTACCTGTATTCACCTGTATTATTGGCATAAATGAAAGGTTTTATTTTTGGCGCAAATGAAATATGGTTTGAGGCACAAATGAAATATGGTTTGAGGCGCAAATGAAATGCCAATTGGTGCAAAAGCAAAGCACCGCAACATGCCAAGATACAAGATACATAGGCTAATAATATCATAATTCATAAGGGGTCAATCTCTTCACAAGCATTATAAAATTATTTAATTATTCATACGACCTATTCAACCTGTTCTTGTTTCCAATGTATAAAACGACTCAAACTTATTTCTTTTGCAATTTTTAGAAAAAAAAACATATTTCACTTGTTAATATTTTTGGTTTGCAAACTATAAATCATTATGTTTTATGCTTATTGTTGATATTTTAGTTCATTCTCAAACAAATTCGTTCACCATCGATTGCGGTTTTCAACAGGTAATGTACATTTCATTGTGTTGTATATTTATCCGCCTGCATGATATGATGCCTTTTTATAAAAGAGGAAGGTTTCCAAAATATTTAAATCAAATAATAACATTAACACATTAAACAACAATTGAAAATGTTTTTTTTAGATTGCAGTATAAAGACAATAATAGTGCATTGACTTGACATATCAACGATATAAGGATTCGGCCTGAAACGGGGAAAAAGCTCGGCGGAGCCTCGCATTTCCCCCTCTGTATAATACATGTGTTGATAATTGATTAATGTACTTGACAATCAAAATAAAAGAACTGTATTGATGCATTGCAATATTAGTGAAACGGTTTTATTCCTTTACTTTCTTCTATATGTTTTACTGTGCATATACTGATTATGTGTCATGATTAGATAAATTATCCTTTAGTTTCTGTTTTGAGAATACTGTAAATTTAGAAATTATTGCGTGCATTTATAATTGTGATTTTCTCATTTTGGACTAAAATTCGATCTTAATTTGCAATAATTTAATTTTGGATGTAACGCGTCTTCTGATTGGCTGATGTTGTTTTGTTTATCAGCTCATAGACATAATTTTGTCATGTGACCGTGACGTCATCAACGTTTTTTCATGGTTTACTCGGGTTTAAAATGGAATTTAGAATTAAATTATAAGAAATGACTGTAATATTTTTTCTGTCTATTCGAAATAACATAAAAAATGTGGTGCACAATGAATTACCCGCGGGTTATTCAGTGTGCACCACATTTTTGATGTTATTTCTTCATAGACAGAAAAAATATTACAGTCACCCCTTAAACATTGAGAAAAATCCTGTTTAATTCATATAAAATTTTCAAAATGTAATACAACCATTGCAATAATGTCTCAATTTACAGTTAAACCAATATAATTTGTTCATTATTGACTCAATTTTGTACATCTTTTTAAGTTTATTCAAATGAATTATGAAATTTAAATACTAGTAAATATCAACTTGTTATACTGTTTGTGGCAGTTCCTTACAATCATCATCTGTGTAAAGATTCCCATACATTAGTCAGGGGTACTACTTGTACAAGTAATTTTAATTTACTCGAAGAAGGAAATATAAATATACTTATATGAACAAATTTGTAGGATACTTATACAAGTGTTTTTTATAAACTTGTATATATAGGTAAATTATTTTTTCACTTAGTTATGTCCCTTAGACATTCAGATTTTGTATACTTATATAAGTAAAAAAAGTCATCATATCTTCTTATTACTTGTACAAGTAGTACCACAGGATGTACATGTTAACAATTTTTATACCTAAACCTGGATTTCAGAAGTCCAAAGGCTCTCTCAATTACATTCCTGGTACTTTTATGACATCTGTTGTATTTTTCTTCTCCATTTGATGATGAATTGAAGAAAGGTGTTAACAGCCATGGTTTAAGGGAATACCCTGAATCACCCAAAAGCCAGCCATCTACCTGCTTGGTCTCGAATTTTTCATTTAAAGAGCAATTCTGCATTATGAAGCTGTCATGGGTATTTCCATGCCATTTTTCAACTACATTGGAAAATCTGAAATAAGAAGGCCATATGTCATACTTATACGTAAAAAAAAATTTTTTTTAATCTTGTACACGGTCCCGATCCCCCCAATATACAAACAAACCAAGCAAGCAAGCTAACCAAAGTCTTGATATACATGCATTAGCAAATTATCTGTAAATCCATAAAAACCTGCTGACAAATAGCAATCATGTCGCATCTTTGCTTGTGCTGTTTAAAATTACCACCGATAAGTTGTACTTTACTTTTTTACAGAAAAAATGTTTGCTGTTTAAGAATATGCATTGCAAGCTGAAGCACACCGCTATCCCAATCTGGGTCTGTTCACCCTGATTTATGTTTGCCCTAATACCTGTTCTCCCAGGGTCAAATCGCCATAATTTTTTTCGAGCCTGCGACTTTATCTGAATAAA